CCTTGCATTGCTATCTGGCCCCCCAGGTCCTTGGCGTGGGGCTTGAGCAGAAGCAGATCGGGGGGGCCTTCTCTGGACTGGAAGCCAGGGGCCCTCCACTTGTGTTCGAAAGGGAGCCCAGGGCTCGGACCCTTGCAGGGGTCAGCCCGGCCCTCGTTCCCGCACACTAGTTGGGGGAGGTGGGGAGGCGTAGGCTGGGGCAACAGACGCCCGCGGCGGAGCTGGCCTGCGCCCTGTGGTGCCACCCTGCCTGTCACCAACCTTTCTGAACGGCAGGCTTATTTATGAAACGGGGTTCCATTATCCGCCCCAGATTAAATGAAAGGACCCGGAATGCCAGCCTTTGTGAGACTGGCTGGGTTTAAGGGACACAGAACCACCTGCTTCTCTGGATTGGTTCGGTGGGTCTGGCTACATTATTTTAGTTTTCTGAATATATATTTTATTAAATGAAGATTTAAGATTCAATTTTATGACCTTGGCTCTGATAAGAAAAATCTGTCCCCTGAGGATCACACACGTCCCACGCATGACCCTGGTTTTCACCGCTCGGCCTCCCTAGGGCTGTGCTTTCTTCTTTGACACATGCCTGAAACAGACCTGGCTCCACAGTGATTTAATGAGACAGAGATGAGGCAAGAAAGCGGGGCCCCGCCGAAAACCGCTGCGGAAAATCAGCGAAGCTGTCCTCCTGACCGCTACCTCAAAGGTCCCATTCTCTGCCAGCTGACTCCTCTCTTCATTTCCCCTTTTCTCTCAAGTTCTAAAATCTCCCTCTCCGGACTGCAACAACCTAGTTCCTCCTTCTGTTCACACGTCCTGTCCAGGAGGGAAAAGCTGCCACCACCAAAACAATACATGGCCGTGACCAAAGACCAGGAAATTATCAGGAGAAATAAGGAGATTTTCACTTCCCCTCGGCCTTGGCAGTCCTGTCGCACCTGGTGGGCTCCTGGCATTTCACTTGACAGAGCCTTCCCCGTGGGACGCTGGACCGTGTCACTGGAGCTGAGCTTCCCTCGGCACCTGGGTATGGAGCTTAGACCAGGGAACAGGTCTGGTATCGGTATCTGCAGTTCTAAAAGTTCTAACAGCCGTAGCAGCCATCGGGACAAGAATGTCAGGGCCGCAGATTTTTTTTTTTTAAGCGAATTATCTTAAACTTATTTTTGTTGGCATCCAATCACCTTGCTTGACATCCTAACCCAATTCAGGGGAACACGGCCTTTGGTTGACAAGCCTCTGAGGGAGGAGGTGAGACCGGCCAGAGCAGCGCTGGCGGGAGCGCAGGGCACAGTGACATGTGCGACACAGCTTGGGTCTCTGTGTGAGAAGCTGCAGAGAATCTCACGTTCCTTGCTCTGGGGAGGGCCCGGGAAGGAGAGCGAGGGTGGTACGGGGGGGCAGAAGAGAGCGGGAAAAGGCGTGGGGAGCGAGGACACGGCGGGGTGGGGGGCGGCCCGGCCCCAGGGCGGCGGGGACCCTGCTGGCGCTGCACAAACCTTCGGGGGGCTCTGCCGCAGACAGGCCCGTGCTCAGGAGGCTTGAAGGGGACGTGTAAGGTTAAAGGGGCTGCTTCCTAAGTTTGGGGAAATAGCAGACATAAAAGATTACCACAAAGCACAGGGTTGGAACAAGATATTTTGGTAAAAACAGAACGTTGAGGAAAAACATCAATGTTAACATACACATCAAAACCAAGCTCACTGGGAATTTTGAGAACTCGTAGGGAGGGCCCGGGCTCCCACTGTCATCAGCATTTTTAATCCACTGTATCTGGGTTTCAAGAGGCGGAGAGACCCTCGCTGGCCTCTGGCTCCCATTCCTTGTGGCATTTAATCCTTGGCCACAGGTCTTACTGTCCCCATTTCCAATGTTAGGAAGCTGAGGCCCAGCGATATGGAATAACTTGCTTTAAGTTCATAGGGCTAGCGCGCATCCATTCATCAGGTAAGGAAGGGAGCATTGCAAAGAGCCGTGGGTCTCGAGCTGAAGAGAGGAGGGAATATGGACATTTACTCCAAATGGATTTGGTCTCTGATACTGACGCTGGACGGCTGAGCAGGCCGAAGGAATGGGGCGCTGTCCCAAGTTACACGAACATCACCCTTGACAGCGACCCTGCGGGCACAGACTGGGCCTCTTGAGCCTCCGTAGAGCTCACCCCTAAACCTGGAGGTCGACAGCTGCTCGCAGCAGCTGTCGCGAGGCTTAAGGCGTGGGATGGCAGCCTTCAATTAACCAACTGTCTACCAAAAACTTGCTATTGCAAGAAAGGTTACCAGAGTCTGTGAGCACACGGGCAGAGCCCGGCCCTGAAACCCCAGCAGTGGAGGCGGGAGGGGAAGAAGGCACCTCTAACCGCAAGCCACGCGGTGCGCACGGGCGTGCTGAGTGGGTGGGCAGGGATGCTGCGGTCCAGTGGAGGGGGTGCCGCTTGGCAAAGGGCAGCAGGATTGATAGGAAAAAGAGCATGGGGTCTAATTAGCAACCAGAGGGTGAAATGTCTTTGAGGCAAAGGTGTGGAAGTCAGAGATGCCGCAGGTTTTACTGGCTTGGCAGAGAACCAGCAACAGCAACCAAAAAGGCATACAATGGCTTCAGCCACAGACTGCAGCTTGAGAAGTTTCTTCCACAGTTTCTGGGAAAGCCTGAGCAAGGCAGGGACACATCACAGCGATGTTCTGGGAAGATGAGCCCCTCTGAGGGCCGAGGGCGGAGGGAAAGGGAAACAGGAGACTAGTCGGTAACTGTAATTAATCGGATATGGGGCCAGGGCGGTGCCAGGAAGATTCCTCTTGGAGACGCTGCCAGCGTTCTTGCTCTGGGACTGCTTGGGGTCGGGGTCAGGGAGGGGTGCTGCTGGGGGGGCGGGGGTAGCAAAGCACTCAGAAAGGAAAAACATAAAACAAAGACCTGGTTAAATATGGTTTATGCAAATACTCCTTTTTTTTCAAAGATGTTGTAGGAAAGTCCCTCTTTTGTTATATTTCCTCTGCTTGAGCCTATCTCCTTTATTCTTAATACAGGGTTGCGCCAAAGATACGGTCAAAATGGCTTTGGATTCTCGAAGGCAAGTGGTAGGGATGGAGGATGGGAAAAATCCCTGAATGAAGGGCTCTCAAAGATAGGGGTTTGAATCAGGTCTGACCCTTTAAATGAAAGCAACCTGAGCCCCGCCTCAGAAGTGCCGTGTTGACAAGACCCTACTACAGACTGGTCAGCCCTGCCTGGGGAGGGGCGGGGCGCGGAGCCTCGAGAACGCTTGTCCACCGGGCCCACCAGCGACAGCTGCACGTGGGTTTAGAATTAGCGTGCAGAAGGCACATCTGGTGGGCCGCACGGCTTGCACAGTTGTGCGCGTTACTTCCAGAACACTGCATGAAGGTTCTAGATGAATCTCTGTCTCTTTAGGAAGCATATACCCTCAGGAGTAGCTTTTAAGCATATACCCTCAGGAGTAGCTTTTTTCTGTGATGAGGAACACTCATTAAAGCACAAAAATACGCCTTGTCTGGAGGGAAGTTAAGGCCCAGAGATTAGAAATCACTGCTTTTCCTACACCCGGCAGTATCTTGAAAGGGCCCTCCTTAACATGTGTGAGGACCTTCATCCCCATCAGAGGGTGTGGTCACCAGTGATCCCTAAGCAGAGCACCCATGCTTGACGCCACAGACCTGCGTGCACGGAGCGCCCAACAAGTAGCCAACTCTACTGCATGCGGAACATTTACAAAAGTAGATCAGGTACAGGGTATAAAGCAGGCCAATACATTTCAAAAAACTGGGATGATGCAGTTCAAATTCTCTTGTATCTAAGTTAGTGATAAAAAAGGAACTTTAAAAAAATCCCAGTACGCTTAATACTTTTTTAAAATTTAAAGAACTCATAATTAAAAAAACAAAGAAAATTTTGACCTATTATAATTAAATGATATTTAAAATACCATGTATCAGCAATTGTGGATTGCAGCAAAGGAAATGTCAGGGAAGATTTATCATTTTAATGTTTACATTAGGAAAGCAAAAAAGGGCTAAAAATTATGCACCCAACTTAATAAGTTAGAGAAAAAATGATAAAATAAGCCAACACAGAGTATAAAGAGAGAAATAATTTAAGAGCAGAAATTAATATGTAGAAGCAAAGAAGAACAGAAGATCAAAGAAGATTAAAAGTAGACAAACTAAGGAAAAAGAAAAATGATATAAAAATACAAAATTAGTATAAAAAGCTTTATCTAAAAATATCACAGATGATTTTTTTAATTAAGAAAACATTAAGGACAATTTAATGAAAATATATTTGGTAATAGTCAAAATAAACAAATTTGCTGAAAAAAAATACTTGTGCAATTTACTCCTGAAGACATAGAAAGTCTGAATGGTTTCCTGTTATCATTATAGAATTTGAATGTGGAGTTAAAACTCTTTCCACAAGGAAAACAATAGGCTTAGGTACTTTTCCAAGTGAATTACAAAAATTAAAAAAAAAAAACCCAGATTTTTCCAAATATAATCAACATTTTATAGAAGTATAAAATGAAGACCTATTCCCCAATGATTCTATGAGGCCAAAATATTCTTGATTCAAAAATCAGATAAAGACTTTGCAAGAAAGAAAAACTATAGTCCAATCTCACAAATACATGTGAAAAAAAATCTTAAACATAGTATTAGCAGCCCATTTTTATAGCAGGATATAAAAAATAAAACCTCATGCTCAGTTTAGGTTTATTTCTAGAATTTACATTAGAAAAATCTCTAATTAAAAATCACCATACTAATAGATTAGAGGAGAAAAATCATATAATCATCTCAACATTGGAGGAAAAAAAAGACCCTGTTAATTTTTAAAAAGGAAAGAAAAGCTTTTAGCAAGCACAAGAGGCATTTCCTTAACCAGAAAGGACGCCTGGTAAACAGTAACAAATGTCATTTTGAGTGCTCGGTTGTCAGAAGTTGCGTCCCTAACCAGAAGTGATCCGTGCTGCTGGCGCACAGGGACAGCCAAGAACGTCACCTCTCCGACCTTCAGCTCAGGGAGCGGCATTGACCCACCATCCCACCTGCTACCCCTCCAGATCCACTGCCACTTTCATACTGAGGCTACACCTCCCAAAGCCTGCTCCCAGCCCCTGACGGACAACGTCGGTGACGCAGCCTGAGTCCATCACTCAGAGTGGGGCTCCTCTAACGGACGACTTGGCCTCCAGGACTCCCCGCTGGCCTGAGTGAACTCGAAGGCCTGTACTGCCGTCTGAAAGGCTTCCCCCTCCCTTCCCCCTTTCCTCCCTTCCCATTTTTCCTTATATACAGGTGTGCTTGTGCCCCCACCTGAAGGCGCCTCTTGCCTACCTCTGTGCTGCTCCCTTTACCCTTCACAGCGTTTCTCTCCGCACAGCCCCTGGAGGGCTGTCCGCCTGCCTCGCACCTGCGTCGTGGGAACCCCTGCCGCCCCGTGGTCACTGCTCCTCCCACCCCTGCCCTGTGATCTGGATGTCCGGCCAGGGCAGCCTCCATCCTTGACTCAGGTCTGGGACACGCGAGAGGCACTGCCTTTCTTTGAGCTCAGTCTGTGCTTTGCTGTGTCCAAATGTCGACGTGAGCTGCTGCCTCCATGTGCCCTGATCTCCGCTTCTGTAAGTCGAGCTCATCCTATGAGACCCAGCTCACGGAAAGGGATTTCTCCTAAATCCCCCAAACTGGAGTAATCTCTTCCTCTCCTAAAATTCGTCAGTGCTCTGAGGGTTTACAGCACTGGCCACATGTGTTATACATAGTTTATTTACGTGCTTGATTCTCCCATCAGATGATTAATTCCTGAAATACTGGCCTTGGCCAGATAATTAACTCCTGAAAACGGCTCGTGGCAGTAAATAAATGTTGGAATGAAAGCAAGAGTGAAACCTAGTCCATTTGTTTACGCCTCGTAAATGAGAATAAAAACATCTGACACAAAGCATCTTCACTACTCAACCACACTTCCTCATGGGCTAATGGAGTCGAGGTAGTGTGAATCCCCGCCCTGCGGAGCGTGGTCAGCCGCAAGCGCAGTTTAGCTGCCCTTCTCCGGGATGGAGCCTGCACAGTTCTCTGGAAAAAAAAAAAAATGGTCCCAACACGGACTGAGCCAGTATTCGCGGCGCTCTTCTGTACATGTAGCTCAAATTCCTGCGGCTGCCACCTCAGTGTGCGTTCTCTTCTTGCGGGCAACGGGCCACCAAGGGAAAGCCAATACTCTGGTATGGCTGACCCAAGGTCACTGCCGTTTGCCAGCACCTGAGAGCTTCTAAAATCTGTCACAGAATCCAGGGGTGGTCCTGCACCCTTCCCCTGGACCAGGGTCTGCTTCTCCTGGTTAGGGCCTGCATTTCTCCTGTGGGTCATGCTGTTCCAGGTCAAAAGCCACCTCCTCTGAGCAGCAGAGAGACTGGGGACAGGCACCTGGAGAGATTCCCGGAGGTCACAGGCCACCATCTCCCTTTCCTGCTCTGTGGACCTGCTCTGTGTGCCAGCCTGTGAATCTCACTGAGCGCACTCGGAAGATGCCCCCTCCGGAAATTCTGGGGAAACTGGTGGGCTGGGGCCCTGATTTGTGTGCTGGCAGCAGCAATAAGAGCAAAGGCAAACATACACGACATTGGGGCAACAGGGCGTAGCAGCCATACGCGAAGATAAATCTAGCTTTCAGCCTCATAACGCTGACTGGGAACATGCCAAGAAATGCGCTTTTCCTCAGAAACAACTTGTTATTGCCAAATGCCCTGTTCATCTGATAAAAGACTCAGTTTGTATCCTGCAGCTGCCTGCATCGCGGTGGAGATTAGCTGGATGACCAGCTGAACTGGACCCAACCGAGGACGCGGGGAGGGGCGGGCGTAGGAGGGGCTCAGGCTCCAAAGCCCCCGGGATGAGGCCGAAAGAACGAGCGCTTCCTAAGCACCCGGCCCAAACACGCCGCTGCCCTGTTTATTCAGGAGCTGACCTGACCCTTTATCCCCCTGTCACCAGATTTATTGGGTTTTAAAGAATAATGAACTTAGAGTTTTAAAGGTTTGAGCTTAAACCCAGGTCCCGAGCTTATAGCTATGTCTTATTCTCCAAGGCTTTAAAGTGAGAATATCACCTGCAGAAACTCTCTGCAGCTAACGGTACCCCTAAATTGCTCTGATGGACCCCAAATAATCCAACCTTGAGAGCCTCTGATAAAAGGTGACTTTGTAAGTTTTAGCAACTGCAAAGTATACTGTGGGAATGTTTTGTACCCTCGGAGCTCATACGCTGCAATTTTAGGGGACGTCATTCATGTTGGATTTTGCAAAGCAGTGGCTCTGGATACTATTAAGTAGTATTTGTACAAAAAGTACCTACTATTTATGATAAACTAACATGATTGTCTCAAATCCACATTACCACATTGCAAGGAGGAATTACCTCCATTTTACAGATGGAAAAAGCGAAGGCTCAGAAAAATCGATAAACTGCATCTTCACCCCCCAAAAATAACAATCAATAGCTGAGGATAAGGAAATTAGGTTTTGAAATGTTTGCCTGATTCTAAACGTTGGGCTTTCCCCACTATTGTATCAATAGCAAATATCTTAGTAGAAAATGGGTATTCTTTCACCCATTCAGCAGATACTTCTTGAATACCATTAATAATAATAGTCAACCACTATTGAGCACACACTGTGTATCAGGCTGAGGGTACAACGTGGAAGAAGACCAACATCACTCCTGCATAGATGAAGATTAGTGGAAGAAAAACATTAAGGCAAAGAAGACAACAGCTAGAATGTTTGGTCTTAGTGCATGACAGACATTGTTCTGTGTGTTTCACGTACATTCGCCTCTTTCACGCCTCCCCCGTGAGGAGGACACCACCGTGTCCCATGTTGCAGGTGAAGAAGCGGAGGAGCAGGAGTGGCTTGCTCCAGACACACAGCTGGTCAGCGGCACAGCTGAGCTTATGGTCAGGGAGGCCCGCTCCAGGGGTCAGGGGCTTCACTGCCAGCGGCACCAACAGCAACCAAGGCGGCCACTATTTCATGTGGCTACTGCAATACCAGTTGTAGAGTAAAGGCACAGTGTTCAAGCACACAGTGTTGTATTTATTGTCACTCAAAGGGCATGGATCTCTCGGTTTTTATTGAAGTCTACACAGCATTTACACTGAGAGAGAAGTCTGGGAATTGGGGTGGGGCAAAAACAGGTTTGCAGTTCATATGGAAAATAATGCAATAATTAATAAAGAATAAATAAAGAAAATATGGGAAATAATACAATAATAATAAATAAAGAATACAATAATTAATAAATTATAAAGAATACATGTGTTTTGTGTACTGACAACTGTAAACTTACTTTTGCCCCACACTGTATGTATATGCGTTTGTGTGTACACGCATGTACTGATTTTATACTAAATTCTTTGGGTGGTCGGATTTCAAGCAATTTTTAAAATTTTATTATTTATGCTTTTTTATCTTATCTATTTTTTAAAAGCAAAACAATAGATTAATATTATCACTCTAAAAATGATAAAGCTATTTTCATTATGGAAAAATGCCTCATGTGCTATAAAAACTAGGTTTTGATTAAAAATTTTCCTTTTAGTGGGGCTGAAGGGAGAAAAAGCTAATGTCCAAAAAGGAAGAAAATTCATAATGACTCTTTCCATGCCTTACCTCTGTGGTAAAAATACATAAAAAACTTAGGACCACATCCACTAAATTTCTCAACTGAACGTTGAACAAGAGTTCTTTGGCTTTAGAAAATCTCACACTCTACTCAAAATTTGATCACTGAAAAGTAAACCTCTGACATTGAGATAAACATTTGCTTAGGAAGAGCCTACTCTCCATGGGGAGCCTGCCTGCGAGCAAAGCCTTGCAGGCCCGTCAGGGCGGGGTCCAAAGCCTGCCTCCTCACTTCCTGGCTCAGGGACCCTCCCCATAGGAGAAGGTAAGGAGGTCTAAGGCGCGTGCGTGTGTGCACGTATATGTGATGGGTGTGCATGTCCGCACTTACCTATATACCCAGCTCTAAGCACTATTACTTCTAGGTAGTAAGGTTTCAAGAGACTGAAGTGCGTTCTTCTTAAAATAGGCGACTGTCATTTGCACTTGACTTCTCGGTGTTGCAATGACCTCCATCTGTGCCCCTTGGGGGAGCCCGCTCTGGCCCTCGTCGGTTTCCTCAGGGCTGGCTCTGGGGGTGAGGAATGACTAAGCAGTGGCAGATGGGACAGTCCAGGGACTGGGGGGACGGGTCTGGGGAACAAAGAAAAGGGAAGTGCGGGACTCCCATGCTAGAGCATATATTTATTTACTTTCAGACTATTCTCCCCCGGCAAGTTTTAAATCATTTCTACTGCGCCTGAGTGATAATAGAGGCCCGTTTCTCCTGCACACCACCTGTCCCGTTTCCCAGGTGTGGCTCAATGCACACGTCAGCTGTTAGAGGCAGAGGTTATCTTCTTAGAAGAAAAACGCAAAATGCTCTGGTTCCTTAAGGGCTGGAATCAAGGACTTAGCCCACGTTGCTGTAATACGTGGAGAATAAACCCATCAACTTCATAAACCTAATGACCCAATAAACCTAAATTCTGAACTTTTTCTTACCCCAATTTTCCTCCCAGATTTGCTCATCCTTAAAATGATTGATGGCTTCTTTTCTGGAAAGGCGAAACCATGATCAAGCCAGAATGCTAATTACTGCTTGAGCTTTTCTAAAGTACAGCACACACACGAGAAAGGGCGCATGTCAAGGATGTACAGCTCGGTGCGTTTTCACCAGGAAGACACATCCATGTCATCAGCACCCAGAGGAGCAACCAGGTCAGTGCTACACCCCAGAAGCTTCCTTCCTTACTTCTTCCAGCCATTTACTGACCCCTCTCAAGGGCAGCCCCTCTCCTGATTTCTAACAGCACAAGTTGATCCCACTGCTTTTGAACTTTATCTATAGAGTCTTTCAATATGTTCTCTCTTGATGGCTGGTTTCTTTCAGCATTATATCTATAAGACTCATCCATGTTGTAGTATGTAGACTGTTCTCTGTCATTGCCCCCGTAGCATCCTATTGCATATATGAAGTTTTTTTAATCAGATATTTGTTTTCAACTTATAAGTTAAAAATATTTATGCACTGATGTTAAGGTTTT